CGTTAGCAGTGTTAGTTAGCAGCGTTAGCAGTAATAGTTAGCAGCAATAGTTGGCAGCGTTAGCAGTGTTAGTTAGCAGCGTTAGCAGTAATAGTTAGCAGTAATAGTTAGCGATAATTGGCAGCGTTAGCAGTAATAGTTAGCAGTAATAGTTAGCGATAATTGGCAGCGTTAGCAGTAATAGCAGCAATAGTTAGCAGTGTTAGTTAGCAGCGTTAGCAGTAATAGTTAGCAGTAATAGTTAGCGATAATTGGCAGCGTTAGCAGCGATAATTGGCAGTGTTAGCAGTGATAGTTAGCAGCAATAGTTGGCAGCGTTAGCAGTGTTAGTTAGCAGCGTTAGCAGTAATAGTTAGCAGTGTTAGTTAGCAGTAATAGTTAGCAGTAATAGTTAGCAGCGATAGTTGGCAGCGTTAGCGCCACCTGTTGATGATCACAGAAGGATTTTGCGGTCTGGACCTTTTAGAAGGTTCTCGTTTAGGATTCTCTGGAGCTGCTCTGCGTCCATCTCTTCATACTGCAGGAAACAAATGACACTCAGCTGATGTTTCTAACCCGGCATCTCTGCAATCCGTCTCTACCTCCGTTTTAGCAGCAGAGCTAATTTCTTGTTTCTGATCTCTCTAAAAACTCAGAACTGTTTACCTGCGTCTGGATTAAAGTAGTGGTGGGACTCATTAAATTGTTTAAGTTAATTGCTGGGTCTGTAATTAATCATAACATTTTCAACTCAAAACCCCTTTATGCACATAAATTATTGAAAAAAAATAACATATTTATGGTTTTTAATCTTCAGGTTCTTCAACCACCACATTGGAGCAAAGTTAATATTTCCAGAGTTTCAGGAACTCCAGACAAGTCCTGGAGCTTCTTTAGAATGTGGACGCTAACATTAGCTTTAGCTGCTACATGTTTAGCATCGAGGTGCTATTTTAGGCCAGAACAGCTTTGCTGATAGGCTAAACCCTTTTAGCACAACTTGAAAGGAGAGTTTTGTCTTTTCCAGCGTCCAATTAGATTGTTTAGAAGCAGAAATTAACCCCAGAGGGCCAAGAGGAGCAGTTATGTTGTCCATTGCTGCCTTTAACATTATGTTGAATAAAAGCCCTGTAATTAATGAATTGAAGTTAAAGTACTAAAGTTCTGGCCTTATTTTAAATAAATGTTTATAAATCAGAATATGTACCTTGTCTGAATGTTGACGGAAGAAAGCGTCCTTATTTTCATCCTCCTGTCTGTTCTTCACCTTCATCGCCTGAATAACACATCGGCCATGTTTGAATTAAGTCAGTGCCTCGTCAGCCAGACATAAACTGTGATGATGTGATCTGGTACCTCTGGACCTGGTTCTGGAGAGCGCTCACCAGAGTTCTCACTGTGAACAAAAACATTCACACAGAGTGTCTTTACAAACAAACACTCCTTATTCCAGAATGGAACAGATGCAGAACACGACGACGCTGTTGACGCAGAGACGTACTAGCAGCGGGTCTCGGTCTTGGACAGGATGGTCAGGAGGAAGGACGCCGTCTCGTTGGGATGGAAGGTGGACGGGACGATCATGTACTCTCCAGGCTTCAGCGTCAGCAGCTCCATCACTTCCCGAGCGTTCATGAAGGTCTTTGTTTGGGCGACGGGTTGTTGAGAGCTGAAGAACGAGGCCGTGAATTTCCCCCTGTGTGCCTGATGCTGTGGCACCACAGAACGTCTCAGGTCTCCAACGCTGATTTATTAAATATTAAATTAATCTTGAAACTGTGAAAATACATCTTACCTGTTCTTTCACCTGGAAAAATCAGATGAAAAGAAATCAGCTTATATTTAGATATGAAACAAACAACCTTATGTTTACCTGCAGGTGCCAACAGCGAACCACGGCGGGTTTACATGCCGTCTCCTGGATATTTATGGGACGGTGAGCGGACGGTGACAAGGTTCAGGGTGTCTACAGTGCTGTAGAACTAGAGACCGGTCTTGGTCTCAGACCACTTTTTGATGGTCTCGGGTGCTGAGGATTTTATTTCAAGACTGGTCAAGAACACAACTGTAAAATTATCACTTATCACTAAACAGTTAATTTGTTGTCGCATGTACAGAACAACGCTGTGACCAAAGCCTGCAATCCAGTGATGTTACATTCATGAACGATCTGATTTTACTAAACGGGTCTTTACTAAGGATGACAGAACTGGAGCCTCGCTCAGAGCCACTCCTTGTTCTTGTAATGCTCTGGTACTCTGCAGTAGCCATTATTATTTTTATTTAACCATATACATTGATATTTATTAGTAAATAAATCAAACACAAGAACTTAAGAGCAGACAGAGCATGCTCATTGCTCTCCGATTGATTTCGTCTCCTGTCATGTGGCAGATGTTACAGCTCTGAGCTGCTGGGCTTCATGCAGCAGGAGAGAGAGAGTCAGTCGCCTTGTGCCTGGTTCCTTCTTGCTTGTTGCGCCCTGCGCAGTGTTCACAGATGAGCGTTGTTTACCGTCGGGGAATTGCGTTAGTTGCTCCGCTTAATGGTGCAGACAGTGGTGGTTTCTGACATGGGCGATGTGGGCAACCGCCCAGGGCGTTGTCTTTTTGGGATGGCAACAGACTAGAGTTTGAATTGACAATGATACTGGTTAAATTTATTTAAGCTCCAAGAGTTTAATATTTAGGTGTTTTTATGGGAATATGAATCTTTCAGATCAATGCAAGAAGCAATTTTGATCATATTTCACATTCCATCTGGTCACGTAGCGCAGGGCTGGTCTTGGTCTTGTCTCGATACACTCTGGTCTTGATTTGGTCTCGGGTTAGGTGGTCTTGACTACAACACTATCTACAAGTTCACGTGGTGGTACTCAAAGGTTTGCTTCCTAAATGTTTCCCTTCATGGTGCTAAAACCTGGTTCACACAGCGAGAGTTTTCTACACATTTCCCCTTCAGCCAGCCTTCAGGACGCCCTGACCATCGTAGTGCTGTAAAGATGATTTTAAGAGATCTGCAGGGTAATAATTAGAGGAATGGGTATCTGCTGGATATGTATTGAACAGCAGATTGGTAAATCACAGAGTTCCTGACTACTGGGCTCCACCAGCAGGAAACTTGCAGGTTACTGTCTCAGTACCTTGAGGAACCAGCAGTGCTTTTGGTTGTGAACCGGCCTTTATGTTTAAGGAAAGCCTGAGTGCAACAGGCTATGCAGCAGGATTCGGTCTCTCTGACCTCCATGCCAAACTCGACATGTGGAGGAAAAGTAACTTGGTGGATGTACTGGAGTGTGTGCTACCTGCTCCTTACCTAGCGTCTGATAAAGCTGGATTCTATGATGCAGAACCAGCCTCCACCATGCTCCACAATTAAACTGTTCCTGTTTGGTTTAACTGACACACAGCGCCTGACCCAGTCAGTAGAATGAGTCCTGGTGCCAAATGGATGAGATTTACCTCGAAGATGGAGAAGCCGATGTGGAGGTTCTGCACCAGGTGTCGGTTCCTCTTGTCATGTTTTTGCATCAGAGACACCAGGATGTTTTTCTCAGCCTTCTCGCCACACAGCTTGACTCGGTACTGTGGATTGGTCCAGAAGCTGTCTGCAGACACAGGTCAGGCTTCTCAGCAAGGAATGGACAGCTACAGCCCAGAGGCTGCATGCACTGGGTCAGTGAGATGAAATCTGTCAGATCGTCTGCCTGCATTGTGCTGCGGTCCGGTTCAGGTTCAGAGCTAAGCTACGCTGCGCAGCACTCCACCAGCCAGAGTTCAGGGAAACCTTGTTCATGCTGTACTTTGCAGCTAGACGGCCTTGGTCATACAGGTTTGACATTATTTAACGTGTTTTGTCTTCATGTTTGTCTTACTGGGAAACTGGATCAGTTTCAGGAAAGCTGCAGTTTTTCCTGACAGAGGACTTTGTTTTCTGATGTTGAAACAATGAGTCATGAACTTCTACCTGCTCTTATCAGAAACAAGAGTTTACTGACGCTCATGTTTGAATTTTAATAATTAATCATTAAAACTGAAAAGTTGGACTTGGATCTTTTCTGTTGGACTCCTGCTGAACCTTGTGCAGGGTTTTCAGTCCAAAGTGACTCCTCACAGTTCAGCGTTAGGAACCAGAAACACAACCCTCCGTCTCAGGTCTTCCTCCTGATTTAGATTCTCCCATCTTCCCATCAACTGACCAGTTTTCAAAAGATGAGGAGCAAACTCTAGTTTGGCTGGATTATGTAAGAGAAAAGTTGCTGCTTCCTTCTACATATCTCTTTATGTTTATTCTAAGCAGTTGTTTCTGCCTGGAATATTTTAATTCACTGAAAACCTCCAAACAGTTCTAGTTTTATCCACACTGAGCCTTTCAGCCTTTCCTCTGTTGGATTTACTGGAAAGATTACGTACATTGTTTAAAGCATTTTGATATTTTCTGCAGTAGTTGTAATAGATTACCTTTGTAATTCATGCAGCCTCCAGCCGTTGTTCCCGCCACCCACCGGCCCTCCGCCACAGAAGTCGTCCACTGGGAAGACGAGTCTTCGTCCAGGAAGTTTGGGTTCGGACCACAGATGTCAAGATCAGTGAAGAACTTGGAGAAGTCCTCCAGCATCATCCTGTCATGATTAATGATGTCAAATAAAACGTCAGCTTTAAGCTTTCAGGGGGAAATAAAACAAGACGTCTGGATGAATAATTTAACTCACCAAAACTCTCCGTCGTTGACCACTGAAAGGCATTTCTCTCGGTCTTGGGAGCTCACGGTCTGCCACAGAGACGAGCTGCAGGGACAGCAGTGGTTGTTAACTGTTTGCAGCATTATTTAGCTTCAGATGAATGAACCATCTCCAGCTGCAGAGCCATTTATCATGAATCAGAGATTAACTTCTTCACCGGTCGCTCCAGTCTCCGTTCCACTCTCCTTTTCCCCAGGGATTCCACAGACGCAGCATCTTCACCGGCTTCCCTCTGCTCGTCATCTGACCAGCAACACACACTGTCAGCAACAGCCATGTTTATTACGACCTGTCCCTGCTGGTGGGAGCCTTCACCTGGACGACTCCAGTCACAGTGTAGGCGTGGCCCTGGACTAGGCCGTTGGGAGACAAGGTCAACGAGGACGACTCCTACAGATGCAAAACAAGAATTCATATTTCTGACAGCAGAAGATGCTGCAAATCCAACATGGGTGGGTGGTTCATGCAGCTCATCC